AAGAAGTGCTAAAAATTTGCGATGCGTTAAATTTGGTTAATTTAAGTTGTGCGCAAAGTTGACGAGCAAAAAAAAAGGAGGAGGTTCAGGATCTTTGACATTGGTAAAGGTGTTAATGTGCTGAGCAATGAGGCAGAGTGCAGGGAAAATTTGAAAGAAAATAAAATAAAATAACATCTAAAGTGGCATTATTTTTCGAGTATCTAAATGAACTATAACAAGAAAGGAAGCTAACTTCGGCACACCGAAGTTTATATACCCTTGCAGATAGAACTTCTATGAATTGGAATCTATACAATATAAATTATATATATTTGTGTTAAAAACAATGAAGTAATACCTGCTTTCATTTCATTCACCTATACATATTATATTTGCAGCTTTTCATTCACAGATTTGCATTTTTCTTCTACATCAAACGATAGTTTGTATGGCACATATATGATATAGTCGTCCGATTTTCATGAAATTTGAAACAAAATTTAAGACTTATATAAAATGGCTATACCTCAAATTTGATGAAAATCTGTTCAAAACTGAAAAAGTTATAAATTTAATTGTATTAATTTCTCGATCGTTCCTATGGGAGCTATATGATATAGTCGTCCGATTTTCATAAAATTTAACACAAAATTGTAGAATAATATGAAATGGCTATATCTCAAATTTGATCAAATTCTGTTGAAAACTAAAAATGTTATAATTTTTTTGTAAAAATTTTCCGATCATTCCTATGGCAGCTATATGATATAGTCGTCCGATCCGGCCCGTTCCGACATATATACGAGTGAGAGTATATAGAAGGCTAACTACAAAGTTTCATATTTTAAAGAAAATAAATTTTTATGAATTTTTCACAATTTTTTTTAGTGATTTTTAATTGTCAAAAATTGGAAAAATATTGAATTTTATTCAAATTTAAATTGAGTATGCAGATTTATTAACCTACTAAAAACTGGCATGGGAAAGGTTTTCGAATTGAAATTAATGCTTTTTTGGCTAAGTTATGAGTTTTTTAAAATTTGATTTGTGGAAAAATTTGTCATATTAAAAAATATTGATAAATGTTGGTTCAAAGAATGATTGAAAGAAGATTTCCTATACTATAATTCAAGGAAGGGTATATAATATTTCCCGAAGATATTTGCCTTTCTTGTTAACTCCTAAAATTTTATTTATATCTTTCACATTATCCTTAAACCATTTAAGTTGTGAAGTTCTTGTATATACGTTTTTATCTCTTCTTTATAAATTTGTTTGATTTTATGTCATTATATTGATCTGAAGCCTCAGATAAAAGCAAAAAAGGGCTCACTCATCATTTGCAACCGCAAAACAATACAAAATTCGCGCCTTCTGCTCTTCTCACCCAATTACCACGCATTTTTCGAAAAAAGGGTAAAAAATAAATGAAACTCAGTTCTGTGGTTGTCCTGGATCCAGAGCGTTAATATTAAAAATAATTCGCGGTTGAAATAATACATGACTCGGCGCGGCTGGCGAAATCTTTTTGAATTTCTCCAAAAGGAATCGAAGTCTCTTACTCTACCTTTTTTTTGGGGGGGGAACTTCACAAGTGTGTTATGCAAACGGAAAATCGGCAAAATCGGCTTAAAACCGCAGCGTTGAAAAGGACAGCGAGGATATACCGAAAACCAAATAGGGAGATGCTGTCATATCTGCAAGGACACTGAGAGAAATATATATTAAACTTTGTAGATAGGAAAAAGAATATGAAGTATTTTCATAAGATTAATACCTTAAAAGTTGTATTTCATACTTAAAGACATTTTTTAGTGTTTATAAAAAGACTAGTAACTTCTGGGGCATCCTAGATTAATATTTCTTTATATTCCAGAGTGTGTCAATTGATTTTAAAGTTTCTTATATAAATAGTAATTTATCTAAATAATATTTATTACTTTTATTATTTAAATTTAAAGTTTTTGTAAGTGTTTCTGCCGGGAGGCATTTGGCTTCAATGGTTTCGCTTCCAAACGATATTTACTCGTCGCCGTTTGCTGTTGTTGTCGCATCCTGTAATGGCAATTCGCAGGATACCCAGGGATGCCCAGTCAAAGGGGGTTAAGGCACTGCAACCTATTGACATTGACAGTTATGGCCGGGAGTGTATTTATACAACAGCGCAGATATGCATGTGTGGAGCAGGAATCACTGTAGTCCCTTTTCCTTGACCCCATCTCTCTTCGTGTACCCCGAATTGCATTCGCTGCTGTTGTCAGTGGGGACAGCAATGTGCATGAGTGCTTCAATCCAGCTGTGGACACCGATTTGCGAATCCTCCATATGGACATGATGGTTTGGATCAAGTGGGTTTCAATGGGGAACTCGGGAAAACTAAAGGGAAATTCAAGGCAAAACGGGGAAAGGATTACCTACAGAAAAGTTGAAGGTTTAAAGCAGGGAATGCTTTCGGAAACTCAAGATATAAATTCTATATTAAATATTAATAAAACATTATGGAATTTATAAAATAATTTCTAGAAATACCTTTAGAAAATCAAAAGTATTTCCCCGCCAAGTAAAACCTCTTAAAGAAGCTCTCTAGAAATACCTTTAGAAAAACCAAAGCATTTCCCCTTCAAGTAAAACCCCTTTAGGAAGCTCTCTTTACCCAACGATTTCGACCTTTTTCTGAGACCATTCCAGTCACAGGTATCCACATCCAGATGCCAGACATCTGGGTAAACTCTATTCCTCCCTTTTGGGGCGGAGGGGGAAATTAACCGAAAACAATTTTCCACTCAAGCGATGGCTGGCAACCAGCTAGAAAAACGCCACAGTCCCCATCATAATGGCTCTGAGGCAGGACCGGGCATCCGCCAGATGCAAATGTATCTATTAAACAGAAATCAGGCAAAAGGCAAAAGGCCCGCAGCAACGAGACCGGGCTAAGCACTTCACACCAAAGTGTCAATTGCATTTTTGTGGTTGACTGGGTTGGCCATGGACAGGGACCAAGACGGAACCCTCGAGCACTTAATGCAACAATAAAACAATCAAAGTGCCTAGAAAATCGATGGAAACCAAATGCAGCAAGTAGCCAGAGTTGGAGTTGAAGTTGAAGTTGAAGTTGGAGTTGGAGACGGAGTCGTCCCGGCCACTTTGTTCGGCCAACAGCAAAATGGAAATTCAATGTGAAGTGTGCGTATCAGTGCAGTGCATCCCAGAGTCCAGTTCCTCCAGTTCTCCAGACTTTGGACTTCAGAGACTTCAGAGACTCCAGGCAGCAAGGGAACCAAGGCTCTAGATCCAAAAGGAACCCCAAAGACCACACACTTGACGGGGTTGGGAAGACAGGAGAGCGGCATTCTGCGGTTCGATTCCACTTCCAGGCACTTGACTTGGCCAAGTTAAGGATGACAGCGTGCTTTCATTTTTGGGAAACTATCGTTGGGAAATCTAATGTAAATTGTGGAATTTTTAAAGAATTTTTTTTTACAAGATAATGTTTTATAAAATGGGAGGAATATATGTCAGGAAAGTATTAAAGTTTCTGTTGTGAAACTATCTTCAAATTTCTGTATTTGGAAGTTCCTTGAGGAGTCTCTATAAAAACCCCTGCAAACTTTTTATTTATTTTACAACAAGTTCTCTTTTGTTTTTTCAAACATTTTAGAGAGCTATCATCTCTTAACCCCTGTGGGCAACAAAGTAGCATGTAAATATCTTTTAGGCAGTCCTAGAGACCTTTTCACACCTCCCACAAGCACTTGGCTTAGTGTCAAGTGGATGCCAGTGGCTCCAACTTCCACTATTCCTTCAGTATCATGTGGGTGTTAATTACTCATGTACCCGGTTCAGAGACAAAACCCCATCGTCATCATCATCTGCATCAGCAGAACTTTGTGTCAACCAGAGTCAGGGATTTGGGAGAAGTTAAGGAAAGAGTATACAATTAAGGGTATTATAGGTTGTGCTTTAATACGCAAAAAAATTATAAACTTTTGATCAGGAATATTAGATATATCCTCTCATAAAGGATTAATTAATTTCCAAATAACGCCTTGAAGTAGGCAACACTTTTCAAGAGACGCATAGCAAGTATCTAATTGTCGGGGGCTGGTGACTAACACTTCTTGTTTGCACTTCCTTTGGGGCTTTTCAGCAAAAGAAGAGTGCAATCAACTCTCTACTGCTGCCACTGCCATCGCCTGGCCATAAAAGTTGCGCCCTCGGACAGTTTGAACAGACATTTTGGACAGTTTCGGACATTTGGAACAAGTTGAGGCGGAGCAGTTCAAGGAGACCGCTACTTGCCCAAGCCCGCATCCTCTTCAGATCAGATCCAAAGGGGATTGGGATTGGGATGGTGCATGGGGTATGGAGTATGGGGACACAGTTAAGGGACATCAAACAAAAGTTGAAGGGATTTGCGACCCGAAAATGGCATTGCCACAGACAGAGACAGAGTCGCACTCCTTTTGCCTCCTCTGGTCCATTGCCTATTTGACTTGGGCTCTCAGATTCGTTTTCGGCATTTTCGCTTTTTGATCATTTTTTTTTTTTCAAATGCAGGTACAGCCGGGCCAAGACGGTTCGTGGTTCGTGTCTCTCCGTTTTTTTTTTTGTTTTCTGATGAAGGGTATAGTTGAGGGGGAATCCGGAAAGTGTTTCTGCCTGCATGACAAATTATTTGAAGCCATCACTTTTGGTTAATTTATGGTGTAAAATAATCGAGAAATTACGGGAAAGTAAACTTACTTTTAAAGGAATTGGTAAAACTTATCGATACTGTAAAGATATTTCAATGACTTGCGATTAATGCACGATAAATCGATATTCTTTTACATTAAAACAGTGCCTACACTTATTTTCAACTATAATTTTTGGCACGAGATATAAATAATTTATCTAAAATCTAGTTTTCCCAATGTTTCTAATAAACGCTGTAAAAAATACAAACAATTTCGGAAATCTGTTCAATAATACCGATATTTTATATTATATAATTTATTTTCATTTATCAAACACCGATATTTGCGACATTTATCTCTCTATTTTGGATCATATTATACCAACACTTTATGTAAATTTGGTAAATAAATCGAATTCCCTTTGAAAGCATCAATTTAATAAATTTGTAATCTTCTGCACTATATAGAATCCTATTGTCATTCCGATGAGTATCTTTAGATCGATTGAGATGAGTTGTTCAGATCCCGATCTACTTACATAAGAACATGGACATATTTCCAAGTCCTTGTATAAGCTATTTTGTATTCTGCAAGTAGAGCAAAATTCACCCTTATGTTGCTTGTCCAATACCAGATTGCAGCCCGTATGAGGGGACCAAGCACAGCAGATTTCAAAACCGGGATCTGTAATTAATAATTCCAAGAGATATATTATATATTTAAATATAATATTTATAATATATTATAATATTTACCTATGTGTATGCCATGTGGTATGCATTCGCGTGCCTCGTTTGTCATCGGAGCTTTCTCGTGTATATATTTCTTTTTACCTGGTTTCTTTCCAGTGTCCTTCACAGTTTCCGTTGAGCTTCTTTTGAAACAACTGTAGCCAATCGATTGTTCAATCTGACAGAGTTTGGCATTCTCTTTGGCACAGATTCCACATTTATATGTGGAATTATCGCCAAGGGCCAAACGATTTAAAACAAAAACTATATATATTATAATGTATACACATTTATAGAACATTTTAGGTATGAATTTATAAGATTAACGTGACAATATTTGGATACTAAATTCAAAGATAGTTTGAGGTTTTGGGTATCTCCCTTGTTTCAGAAGCTTTTCTCAGTGCCAACTGGAGTGACATTTTCCTTAAAGAAAATTACCACTCACTGGGCGCACTTCCGTCAGGTCTGCGAATATGGTTTACAAACTAATCAGAGCCCACGATATAGTAAAGTATATGTATCTGGAAATGGAAAAGGAGTTGGAGATGGTTAAGGGAATGGGTATGGAGATGGTCATGCAAGTGGCAATGAAGATGGTGGTAGAGCCTCTAATAGACCATGGTTCTGAACATCATTTCGCTTTCAGCGGCTCGCCGCAGTCATGCCACAGAAATTGAAATGAAAATTGCAAAAAAAGAAAAGAATCTTTACCAGAAGATGGAGGGAAAAACCGCCAGGCGGCTAAACAACTTCATCTGTTTGAGAATTTTAAAATGAATTTCTCCAGGGCGGAAGAGGACTACAGAGGAGGAGGAGGAGCACTTGGTGGAAGGCAGCGGAGCGAGCCCAAGATTGACACAAACCAATTAACATTTGTTCCTTTTATTTCTGGTCTTTGGTCTCTGAATTTATCGCACGTTTGACTGCGTTTACCAGTCAGATCTGTCCGACTTGAACCACGTTTTGCGCTTTATGTTACAACTGCACCAAGAAGAAGCTTCTTCTGCAAGATTGTTGGGCCGGCCCTCCGATCTTTTGGCTTGAAGTTGGACTAATCCATTTATCTATGCCCATAACTCTTAAAAATAGCCTGGAAAATTTGCAACACAATTTCTGTGCCTCATGTGCCTGTGGCCGGGCTCCAAATACCGAAAGACGTTTAAAATGCACTAATTACCTAATTAATGAGGTTTCTTTCAGTTTCTCTTTACTTTTTTTTCCCCTACTTTTATTTTTGTTAGCTTTTTTTAGTATATTTTTTTTTATGCAGATTACAGAGCTCTTGGGACCGACACTTGGCTGTCCATTTGGAAATTTAACGCGCTTATCTGAGCTCGACTGCCAAGATATCCCCGGCCAGGGAAGGGATTCAAGTCTGGGTTTGGGTTTGGGTTTGGGTTCCTCCAAGAAGTCGAGCGTAAGGCAGGCAGCTCGCCAGATAACCAACATCGGGCTAATTAAAATTATATAAAAAGTAAAGAAGAGCTAAAGAAATGAAGAGAGAAAAAAACAAGTAAAATGAAAAGGCAGTGAATGGATCAGGAACTATGCTAAAGTTTTGCCTAAGAATGTTAAGCAGACAAAGTAGGATTTGGACATAATGAGAGAGGAGCCAAAGCAAAGCAGGCAGAAGGACTTAAGTCTTTTGATTGACAAAAGATCTCCCAGAAAGAATTCACAAATGCTACAGCGGAGAATGATAGCAATATTAATCGGAATTAAAGGGATTTCAATGGGAGAATATAGAAAAGCATTAAAAATCCCAAAGAAACTGATAACAAGATTTATTTTAATTAGTTGAATGAGGTAGATATAATAAAAACATTAAATATTAAATACAAATATTAATCTAAATGGATAAATGTAGAGCTGCATTAAATTTCTTAAAAAAACTGATAAATAAATTTATTTTACTTATTTAAGAGGTATAAAAATAAGAAGAAATAGGGTTTAGGCAATAAGAATAATATTATTAAAGATTTTTATATAAGAAAAATATAGACAATACTGAAAAAGTCATCAGAAATAATAAAGAAATGCACAACACTATTTATTTTAATTATTTTTAAGGTATATAAATGATAATAATTAGAAAACAAGAAGGGAAGCTAACTTCGGCACGCCGAAGTTTATATACCCTTGCAGATAGAACTTCTATGACTAGGAATCCATACCATATAAATTATATATATTTGTGTTAAAAAACAATGAAGTAATACCTGCTTTCATTTCATTCACCTATAAATATTATATTTGCAGCTTTTCATTCACAGATTTGCATTTTTGCTCCACATCTAACGATCGTTTGTATGGCACCTATATGATATAGTCGTCCGATTTTCATGAAATATGACACAAAATTTAAGACTAATATAAAATGGCTACACCTCAAATTTGATGAAAATCTGTTGAAAACTGAAAAAGTTATAATTTTTAATTGTATTAATTTCTCGATCGTTCCTATGGGAGCTATATGAAATAGTAGTCCGATTTTCATAAAATTTTATACAAAATTGTAGAGTATAGTAAAATGGCTATATCTCAAATTTGATCCAATTCTATTGAAAACTGAAAATGTTACAATTTTTTTGTAAAAATTTTACGATCATTCCTATGGCAGCTATATGATATAGTCGTCCGATCCGGCCTGTTCCGACATATATACGAGTGAGAGTATATAGAAGGCTAACTACAAAGTTTCATTGAGATAGCTTCAAAACTGAGAGACTAGTTTGCGTAGAAACGGACAGACGGACAGACGGACAGACGGACAGAAGGACAGACGGACAGACGGACATGGCTAGATCGACTCGGCTGTTGATCCTGATCAAGAATATATATACTTTATATGGTCGGAGGTGCCTCCTTCACTGCGTTGCAAACTTCTGACTGAAATTATAATACCCTGCAAGGGTATAATAAGAATATGAATATTAGTAATTTAGTAGTATTAATCACAGCTAAAAGGATTTAAATGGGGAAATTATAGGGATGACTTAAAAATTAATCAAAAATCATAAAGAAACGGATCATAAAATTTATTTTACTTATTTTGAAGGTATATAAATAAAACCAAATAGGTTTAGGGGTGTAAGAAAACTAATAAGAATTGAAAATATTGTTATCAATTATATAAAATTAAGTTCTTAATCACTTAATATGCATATAAATATTTTATATATTAAATCCTATTATTAAAGTTTTTATTTTCTTTTTATTTCAGGTAAGCTAATCCAAAAGAGGCAATATCATATAACATTTAACTATGTAAGTAACACAAAATACTTTAATATTTACTATTTATTTTCAAATATTTTCCATATAATTCATATTAAGCTTTCTCCCTATTTATTCCTAATTTTTAAATAATTCAAAAAGGCTTTATTAAATTATTTATTTATTTATTAAATTCTACATCTAATCCACCAATCATTGAAATCAAGTTTTCACAATTTTTCACACTTTTTCACACATCGATGCCATTTTATTTGATTTAAAATCAATTTACCTAATTTAAACTGCGTGAAAAATATAGGAAAAACTAACTCGGTTTTTATTTGCTCCCATATGAAGCCATAAACTGGATAATTTCATTAAAGGAAATGGCACTTATTGTAAAACACAAGCAGCAAGTAAGATAGAAAAAAAAACTATCTAACTATCTCAACTTTTGCCACTTGTAAATTATGCAAAAAGGTCTTCATGAAATTGCAAGCAGCTGCTCTTGCCACAGTTGCAATTTCGCTCCTTTTTTCCCATTTTTACCATATATATATTTTTTTCCTTCCTCCTTTATTTTTTTATATCCTGCTTTCGAGAGGATGTACTCTGGACCAGCCCAGCCCATCCCATTTAATTAGCCATTAAGTTTTATTGCGCGCAATTTTGTTTAATTTGCTTTAAATACAGCAAAAAAATACAGAGGAAGATACCAAAGAGCAAAGGAAAAATAGTAGTTGCTACTTGGGTGGGCGGCACCAGAGTTTTTTTTTTTTTGAAAAAAAAAGGAAATAAAATGATAGAAAAAACTAGGGAAAATGTGGAACTTGATGTTGAACTACTTTGAGTGGACCATTATTGCTTCACTTCCAGCTTTTGCCAATAAAATTGGGAATTACTCCCTGTTTTTTTTTTGTGATGGCTTAAATGTTTGCTCTGTTTTAAAAAAGGGATAATGTAAAGTGGAATTTGTAGATGGAAGAAAATGATTATTAGATTAGTATTCAAGGTTCTTTTCTGTAGAATTATTTTAGTTGATAATTTCACAAAAGAGAATGTTGGGAATACAATTGGAATACTTTTAAGGAGACAAACAAACTGTCTAAGGTTTTCTTTAAAGCTCAAAAAAGTATGTAAATATTTTCCTACCTAATATTAGTAGTAAATTTAAGTACTTAACAAATTTAATTCATTTAAATTTTATCTAAAAAATATAGTTAGTTTCCTCTCTCTGTTTCAAAGTAACAAGTACATCTCCTTAGACAAAAAGAACCCTGTGTCCTTGTCCTTCGTTGATCTCTCAATTGCCTTGTCCTTTGGCATATTTAACTTGAGGCAATTTTCCTTTGGTTCCTTTGCTTTTCAATTTTCCTTCCTTAGTTATTTTTCCTTTTTTTTATGACTTTGACTGGTGCATTTCCTGCTTTTTGCTGGCCTTGTTTCTGCGCATTTAGCATGGAAATTGCCCCTCTTTTAGATGGCATGGCACAGTCAGCATATGCAATTTTCTGCTGCAATTGTCTGAGTCCATCGCACAGCCCTTTTTTTGCCAACCTCTAAAGCAGTTTTTCTTTTTATTTTTTATTTTTTTTCGGGGGTGTGATGGCAGCCAGCATAAACTTTTATACGCAAATTTAATTTTATAGCTTATTGGAAAATTCTGCGCGTGCAAATCCAATTTCCCATCCCTGTTTTTTCCGAAATTTTATTTTAGTTTGTTTGAAAGTTTAAAATTTATTATTGTTGTGTGCTGGAGGGGAGAAAATTGTTTTGAGAGCGTTTTTTTTTTTGCGTGGAATTTTTAGGGGAAAAGTTTGAAAACAAAACAGTTGATGGATAAATAAGAATAAAGAATGATACTGAATGAATTTAAAATAGTAAAAGTTACATTTTATTTACAGTGAAATTACATAAATAAATAGTTATTATTTAAATTGTACATCTTATAACAAAATTGGTAACTAAAATTGTTTATTATGGCTTTAATTCTGCTCTTTTTATTTATATTCTCTTAATATCTTTATAATTTTCCTTTAAGTAACTATTTTTCCCTTTGCTCTTGACTTAAATCTTATATATCTGGCATCTTGGCCAAGTTGGTAGCAAAACACAGTGGTGAAAAGTCGAGGAGCGGCACT